TTCTGAAAGAACACTTTGTACATATCTTGGTCATTGAACTTTTCTTGTTTGACAGGTTAAAAATGTTGTAGTACATAGCTTTGAGGGTAAATTCATGCAGTTTCATATTTTGCATTTCAAGTGATTGCTAAGATCACCCAGTGACATTTTCCCTTTTTAAAAAATATTTTATTTATTATTTTTATTTTGTGTGTGTACATGTATTGCCTGTATGTAGTTAAGTGCACCCATGCCATGCAATGCTCATGGAGGACAAAAGAAGCTGTCGGATCCCCTGGAACTAGAGTTATGGACAGTTGTTAGCTGCCATGTAGGTGCTGGGATTTGAACCTGGGTCTTCTGCAAGAGCAGTCAGTGTTTTGAACCACTGAGCCATCTCTCCAGACCCTTCTCTCTTTTTTGTAAACTTTTGAACTTTTGGGGGTATGTGTATGTGCACACATGCCCTCTGTGTGTGTGTTCCATGTGTGCAGGTGGCTTTCAGAGGACAACTTTGGTAACTGGGCCTCATATTCCGCCTTGATTGAGAAAGGGTCTTTGTTGTTTGCTGTGCATTCACCAGGATAGCTGGCATGTGAGCTTGGGGATTCTCATCTCTCTGCTTCTCATCTTGCCTTAGGAGCACTGGGATCACAATGCAAGCTACTGTGCCTGGCTCTGTGAGGGTTCTGGGGGTGTGAACTAAGGTTCCTATGCTAGTGAATTAAGTACTTTACCCACTGAGTTATCTCCCAACCTCCCGTTGACATTTTCTTAGCACAGACCTTAGAACAAAGCTTTTGCCTGTTAGGGTGGCCCTTTAATGTAGCTGTAATGTGTTAGCTTCTCCTCTCACAATCAATACAGAATTTGTTCTCTCTCTCTCTCTTTCTCTCTCTCTCTCTCTCTCCTCTTTCTCTCTCACTCTCTCTCTCCCCTCCTCCTCCTCCTCCCCTCACTACCAACACAGAATTTGAGCTTCTGTCTCTCTGTCTCTGTCTCTCTCCCCCCCGCTCCCTCCCTCCCTCCCTCTGTGTTTGTGTGTTTGGGCACGTGTATGTTTGTTTTTAGTGAAATCATCTTGTCTTTAAGTTTCATTCTATGTAAAGGTGGAACTGGGTTTGTAGGAGAACTACTTTGTGTTTCTTTATAACTCAAAGGAAAGGGAAGAAAGGAAATCAGTGTTTATTAATAATGCTCTTGCTGATACTTATTTAAAATGAGGCAGCATGTCTTAAATTTCTAGCGATGCATGTATTCTTTCCCCCAGAATAAGGTCTTCTTTATTGAGCTCTGATAAAGCAATCTGCAAATTGCAAGGCCTTAAATGTATTCTTTTAAAAATATTTTATTTATTATTTTTATGTGTATGAGTATGTTGCCTGCATGTACATAAGTGCACCCATGTCATCCAATGCTCGCAGAGATCAGAAGAGGGTGTTGGATCCCCTGGAACTGGAGTTATGATGGTTGTTATCTGCTGTGTGGGTGCTGGAAACTGAACCAGGTCCTCTGTAAGACCAGTCAGTCCTCTTAACTGCTGAGCCATCTCTCCGGCCCCCTTAAATGTATTCTTGATTCCTTATTCCTTTTTTGTCTTCCGCTTTTGTCTTCTTGAAGCATAACAGGTCATTCTAGACCAGCTTTATATTCTTTCAAGGATTTAAAACTACTTTTATAATTTAAGACACTACTGCTTTTTTTCCTGTCCAGGGTTTGGCAATACTGTGGTAAAAGCTTCCCAGAAATGTAAGCAACTGTGTCATTTAAAAGTGGTCTCTTGCTTAGAACCTTGGCTACTGCAGAAAGCCAGCTTATGAGTCATTTGAGTGAATGACAGTTGTTGCTAATCTTTTATAAGCTGTAAAATAATCTATGTAATAAAACCTGAGGATCAAGGATTTTAAATATGCCACAATGTATTATGCTCTGACACTTAAATATCACAGAATTCAGAATCCAAATTAAAAAATAGCTCATTTCATGATTAACTGTGGTTGCTTTCGGTAGTGCTCCAAGAGCTTCTTGAGATACCAGTTCTCCTAAATGAGGCTTCAGTCATGTGTTGGGAGGCAGGGTGGACCTTTGTAAATGTCCTCAGATAACTCCTGACATCAAAAGAGCTTTCTATGCCTACAACTGAGATAGCTGCAGAAGAGGGATATAACTCAGTGATGGAGTGCTAGTTTAGCTTGTGCAAGGCTTTGATCCTGAGCACCTTTAAAACAAAAGAATTACATACAGTTAAAGCCAAGTATGGATTTGTAATCCCCAAATTTGAGATACTCAGGCAAGAAAACCATGAATTCAAATCATCCTGGGCAAGATAATAAGTTCATAGTTTGGGCCTATATATAGAGAACTATCAATATATAGATGATAGATTAGATAGATAGATGATAGATAAATAGATGATAGAGAGAGAGATGATAGATAGATTAGATAGATAGATAGATGATAGATAGATAGATAGATAGATAGATAGATAGATAGATAGATAGATAGATAGACAGATAGAGATAGAGAGAGAAACTTATCAAGGAGCTAGTCCCTGGAGAAAACCAATTCTCCCTCCCTCTGTGTCCACTGATTGATTGCCTATAGTTCTTCATCTAAAGATGGAACCTGCTGAAAATTCCCCCACCCACATTGTTATGTCAATTATTTTTGCCATTATGCAGATCTTGTTAGCCTTGAACACATGTATACATGAACACCACTAAATGGAATCAGTATGTTTTATATGTATATTTATAAATGTAGGTATGTAAATGTAACAATCATAATCAAACAAGAAGATGAGAATGAGTGGGGGAGCATGGGAGGAGATGGAGGGGGTCTGGGAGGGGGTGGAAATGATGCAAATACAATGCTCATGTATGAAATAGTCAAAAATAAAAAATAATTTAGAAAAACACACCAAGAGGGGCTAGATACTTCCTGCAGAACTCATGCTCTAGAGTATCAGACGTCTTTTTCTCCAACGAATTTTTTTCTACAGACTTTTCTATACTTTTAATATATCATATTTGATTCTGAAAGTGGGTGTCATCCTTTACCCATTCAGTCCAATTTAGACATCCCCAAAGCAAAACTTCAACAAAAAATAGTATGTGTATGTTTGTGTATGCCTTTGAGTTACAGGAATTTTCAAACACTTTTAGAAGTTACTTTTATGGATTCTTAGGTGCATTAACCTGATACCTTGTTTTCCTGTATTGACAAAGAAATTAGGAATAAGAAATCATAAAGGAAAATTGATGTACTTGCAGTTTGGTCAAATGTAGAGGGAGATGCTAATTTCCAACCCACCTCACTTGTGGTCACCTTGCAATGTGCAGAGAAACGTGAAACAAAAGCCAGAGCCTAGGTAAATTTAACTGTAAGATGGGCTGATCAGTCTTTTCCTCAGGGAAGGGACCTGGACCCCAGGCTATCTCCTCATTCTGTTACAAGGTCAGATTTTTATTTAAATCCTGGCCTAGGATAGGTGATCTTAAAGATGTTGCATTTTTGAAGGAGAAAAGAATATGGGGATTTTATGGCTTGTAAGATCCTCACCCATTCCAAGCTTGCCAGTGTTCTTGGACCTAACAGAGGTCAGAGTCTGAGTAGCTGAAGGTAGGTGCATGAATGTCTGTCTTTAGAATATATTTCTCCCTGTCAAGTCCTCAGCATAAGATCAAGATTACAGAAGTACTGTGGACCTTGTTTCCTTCTGGGTCCTATTCACCAGTTCTCAGCATTTGTACTTCTGTTTCAGCAGTTCCCATTCTTCATGTGCATGACTGATCCTGGAGTATTTAGTCTCAGATATTATATGTTTTATTTATAAATATTTGTCTTTTCTTTAAGTGTATTGACAAGCAATTTTTAAAGCTGAAAATTGTTACTTTATTTTGCTCCTGCCTGAAATTAACATGGTCTCCATCTTTGTTCTAACCTGTTAAGTTCACTTTTCCCAGGTTTATTTCTCTTTCTCCTTGATTTTTTTCCAAATTCTTATTTTATTCTCATTCTAGCTAGTCATTTTATGGGTACAATATATAGAGAGTGCA